CTTCCCTTTCCCATTCCCATTTTTTCTCTTCCCTTTCTTCCCTTTCTTCTTCCCTTTCCCTCTTTTGTTTGTTTTTATTTTTGGGGGGCGTACAAAGACTTTCTGTGCAGTTCAGCCTGGACTCAAGCTCTTGATTTTGTTGCCTCAGCCTTTTAATGCTGTGATTATAGGTATGAGTCATTAAACCTGACCCATAGCCCCAGCTGGTCTGGATCTCCTATGTAGACCAGGCTGGCCTCAATCTCACAGAGATCCTCCTGCCTCTGCCTCCTGAGTGCTGGGATTAAAGGTGTGTGCCGCCACACCTAGCATTAACTTACCTTTTTTGAAAAAAAAAAATTTCTTTATGTGTATGTGTCTGTGCACATGAATACAGGCGCATGCAGAGGCCAGTGGTTGTCGGGTCCCTTGGAGCTGGAGTTCCAGGTGAACTGTACTATGGGGGTTCTGGGAACCAATATTGGATCTTCTGCAAGAGCAATAAGTGCTCTTAACTGCTGAGCCATATTTCCATCCCAACTTAGTTCTTCAAATAATTGAAATCATGTACTTTGGTATTTATTTTTATTACTTTAGTTTTTTGAGACAGTCTCTCTGTAGTCTAAACTAGCTTTTACTTCCTGTCCTCTACCTCTCCAGTGCTGTGATGACAGGTATGCACCACTATGCCCATCTGGAAATACTTATAGAACCACACACTCACACACAAAACCAGACACAGTAAGTAGTCACAAGTGGTAGCGAATACCTGTAATCCAGCACTTGAGGCTGATGCAGAGGATCCGGAGTTTCAAGGCCGAGTTCTGTTACATAGTGAATTTGAGGCCAACCTGGGATACATGAGACCCTGTCTTAAAAATCCAACCACCACTAAAACGAACAAAAACCAAAGGGAAACTTACTGACGTAAGTGCTGTTTTACTTTTTCACCATGCTTATGTATTGTGATGTACCATAGTTTGACAACATTGAATCTTTATGTTTCTAAAATAGAAATTTGCAAACCAGTAATTCAGAGGCATTGGAAATAGAAGTTCCTTTGTGAATGTTATGTGTCTGATTGAGTTGGAATGTGCTGCTTTTTCTCTTCAGGTATTACTGTGTTTTTCGAATGGAAATCATTACGATATTGTCTATCCCATAAAGTATAAAGATAATTCTGCTATGTGTCAGTGTAAGTACTATCTTGTGTTTATCTTACTAATCTACACAGGCTTAATAAGGATTTATATGCATTTTTCACATTGTTACTATATAGCTTAAAAATCCAAATGACTGAGCAAATGGAGCATTTGTTGATGTTTTGCTTGGGTTTCCTAACCTCAGCACTTTTGACATTTTGGGTCAGATTCTTCTGTTGGGGTGATTCCTGTGCATTGTAGGGTGTTTAGTAGTACCCCGGCCTCTACCCACTAGGTGTCAGTAATATTTGCTACCACGTTGTTACAACCACAAAAGCATCTACAGTTTTCTCAAATATTTCATGGCTGAATGAATTCACCTTCCTTCGCCACATTTGAACGTACTATTCTAGAAGAGAAATTTGGGTGCTGGGTCTTGAAATTCATGCCCTTAAGCTTGCATGGCAAGCACTTGACTGACAGCCATCTCCCCAGTACTGGAGAATATATTTTCTGAGTTTCTTTTCAGTTCATGTAAAATTAAAATTTGAAGTCAGAGTAGGTTGAACATCCTTATGTTTTATAGAAACTTGATGAGTGCTTTGTCTACTGCTGAGTTTCTGAGCTAACGAAAACTAGAAATCCAAGCCTTGTCGGCTAGTGCACTCTGATACTCTGCATTCCTCTTTCCAACAATTTAGTGTTGGAAAGAGGAATGCAGAGTATTCTACCCAAGACTTTTGGTTAGGCATCTTGTGTGATATCCATATATTATGTATATATCCAGAATTGTAATACTGCATATGCTGAGATAAAATGGAAGGCTCCAGAAGACTTAAGCAGAGTGTATATAGAATGAAGTGATTGTTTAATATGTGTTTAACTTTTCTCATCATGCTTGATTCAAATATCTGAAGTCTTTAAAACCCTATTTTGTGTGTATGTGTTATGCCTGCATGTATGTAAGTGTTATGCAGTGCCCATGGAGGCAAAAAGAAGACATCAGATCTCTTGGAACTGGAGTTACAGGTGTTTGTTACTTGCCATGTGGGTGCTGGGATTTGAACCCGGGTCTTCTGCAAGAGCAGCCAGTGCTCTTTAATCACTGAGCCCTCTCTCCAGCATTTTTATTTTATTTTTTGTTTGCTTAAAAGTGCTTCAGTATTCTGAAACATGAATTCAAACCTGTATGCACAAACATCCTTGTTCTTTATAGGTAGCTTTCAGATTAAATACTATTACTATAGTTCTTGTATGTATCTACTTAGAATTTTAGAAGTCTGAGGAGTATAGGAATATTTCCTCTTCCTGTTTTTAAAAAGTGCTTGTAATTAATGTTGCTTAAATTGTCTCATTTATTTCAGCTCTCCTTTATGAATTGCTGTATGAGAAGGTGTTTAAAACTGATGTTAGTAAAATTATGATGGGACTAGACACTTCTGAAGGAGCAGATGAAAACAGTAGTGAAATATCAGATTCAGAAGATGACACCTGCAGGTAAGAATGAATTTCACTTCTGAAATATTTTTCTAGTGCCAGACAAGGGAACATTTTAATGTATAGGTGTCTTACATGTTGAGGTGTGGTTGAGGGTTCTTATCGTGAATTTTACCTAGTTTCTACAATGGGACTGTTTTAAAATGTTTTTGGTTAATAAGAATCTATGCATGTGTAATCTATATGCATATGTAGAATAGATTTGATCCTGTGTGTGTGCTTTGTAAAATTTTAAAGTTAACCTGTTGTTTACATATCCAATGATTAGAAAAATGCTTATTTTGGTCATTTATCGTTTTCTTCCTTTGTTACTGCCTCCTCCTTTTAGATATGGAGGGCCCCAGCATGGTGTTACAATATATACACAGCTCTGGATAATCCCTAAGGTTTATAGATAAACACCTTTTTTCTTTTCTTAAAATATTAGTTTCATGTGTATGAGCACACTCCCTGCATGTGTGTAGGTGCACGTGTGTTGTGCAGTGTGTGTGGAGGTCAAAGGAGGGTGTTGGATCCCATGGAACTGGAGCTACAAACGGCCTCCAGCTGCCATGTGAGGTGCTGGGAATCGAACCCGGGTCCTCTGCAGGAGCAGCCAGTGTTCTCAACCACTGAGCCATCTCTCTAGCCCATAGACTCTTTTTAATAGAGTCACTGGCAGCTTTTTCTTTTCCATATAAAATATACAGGCTAAGATTCTGAACCCTGGGCATCCAGGCATGTTTTCAGTCCTGGTTTCCTGCTAACTAACTAGATACACTAGGGCATGTAATTTAAGTTCTCTAAGATGCCTCATTTCTACCTATAAAATGAGAGATTTTCAGTATTTTCTGAAGGGGAGAGTTTGTGAGATTTCTATGAGAGCATGTGAGGTACATGAACCTAGTTCCATTATATATTGTATTATGTATTTTATCATGTTATATTAAGCCTATATGTAGCATTTGTTTTTATCAACAATATGAAGTTTATCTTTTATAAGAACCTACCCTATTTATATTCCTGTTGAAGCTAAAAATATATTACTCTTGTATGAGAATATGGCAGTATATATAAAGATAGAGATAGGTGGAACTTAATTTTTAATAGATGCCTAGTTTTGTTTTTCTTTTCCTTTTTTGGATAGCTAGTTTTTAACACATTAAAAAGTGTGTGTGTGTGTGTGTGTGTGTCTGTCTGTCTGTCTGTCTGTCTGTCTGTCTTGATTTGAACTGCAGAGTTTTTTTTTTCTTTTGTATACTGCGTATCAAACTTACAGCCTCTTGTAATGTAGCAAGCACTATACCACTGAGCTTTGTTTGTTTCTTAGATTAAAAAAATATTTTTAATTATGTGGGTTGCATATCTAAGTACAGTGCTTATAGAGGCCAGAAGTGTCAGATCCCCTGGAGCTGGAGGTTACAGATGGTTGTGAGCTTACTGCCCATGTGGGTGTTAACTGGATCCTTTGCAAGAGCAGAATGTGCTCTTAACTGCAGAGCCTTCTCTTCATCCCCTCGCCTTTTTTTTTGAGGCTGGGTCTCATGTAGCCCAGGTAGTCTTGGAATTCACTATTAGCCAAGAGTGACTGAGCTCCTGATTGTCCTCTCTTCACCTTCCAAATGCTGGGATTACAGGTATATGCCACTATGTCTAGCTTCCAAGAATTTGCTGAATTAAAATTTTCTCATCCTGGGCTGGAGAGCTGGCTTAGCAGTTAAGAGCACTAGCTGCTCTTGATACCCAGCACCCACATGATGGCTAACAACTGTCTGAAACTCCAGTTTCAGGGGACCCGGAACATTGCACGACACAGGTGCACTTACATGCAGCCAATCATACACATTAAAAAAAAACAAAACCCCCCAAACCAAAAACCTGATGATAGAGTGAAACAGTGTGGGGAGCCCTGAGTTTGAGTCTCCTGTTCTTGAAGGGTAAGAAAATCTTTTTGATGTGTCACATCTGATTTAAGGGAGGAAGAACATGATTTAACCTTGTCAAGAATAAATTGGCTTAGTGTGGTAGTAAGGAAGGAAGCCTTATTCAAAGACATCTCAGCAAGGGCTTTCCCTCGTCCACTTTTTATTATTTGAGTCTACATTGCTATGCTTGCTCCTTTTGCTCCTCACTACACTTAGTAGCATTTACTGTACTGATTACTTCTTTACTTTGTGCCTGTTCTTAGATTGGATGGGCAGTTTTTGTTTCTCCTGTTCCCTGCTTCCACCCAAGCAGTTAATACTAGGTGGTTCCTGGCACAAGTACTTGTTGAGTGAATGAATGAAAAATGGCCTGATGATGATTCTTTGGTTGTGCTGACGATGATGTTTGATGAAGGGTGTGATTTTGAGAAAGGGTTGGTTATATATAACTCGTCCTTTAACTTGAATTAGACATTTTTGTTATAATAGAAACATTTCTTTTTAAATGTCTTAAATACCCCATATTGTTGTGAAAAATTTTATGTTGAATCTTAAGTTAATAATTTAATTACTTCAATAATTCTGAACACTCCTACTGCATTGTTTTGTTTTATGGTTGATTACTGAGTCAATAAGAAATAAATCTGACTTCTGTTGTATACATACACACATACATGCATTATGTATTATACATATGATAAAATTTTACGAGTTAAAGGACGTGGTTGATTACTGAGTCAATAAGAAATAAACCTGACTTCTGTTGTATACATACACACATACATGCATTATGTATTATACATATGATAAAATTTTATGAGTTTACTGGAGTATAACTTTCACTTTTTGGCATGTGGCTACTGAGTTTTCATTGAGGTTGAAAGCAAATTATCTGCAAATACATTGTCCTTTTCCTAATCATGGATATATTCCTTTATAGGAGTAAAAGTACTGCTGCTGCTGCTGAGAATGAACTTAAACCTTTGTCAGGCAATGAGGTATTTTTAAAAATGACTTTGAATTTTTTTCCTTGAAAAATTTTAAACTTTTATTTGTATTTTGTTTGTGTGCATGTAAATGTATCCACGGATGCAGTACCCACGGAGGTCAGAAGAGGATGTTGGATACCCTGGAATTGGAGTTATAGATGGTTGTTTGCTGCTGTGTAGATGCTGGGAACCAAACCCAGGTCCTCTGCAAGAGCAGCCAGAGCTCTTAACCGCTGAGCCATCGCTCTAGTCCATTTAATTCTTTAATATATAATAAAACCTTATGGAATTTTGGTTATTTTCAGTAGTCAGTATTACCTTGCTAGTAACAAATTATCTTGCTGCTTTCTTATTTTTTCAAGTGTTTTTTCTGTTTGGTTTTGTTTTTGTGCATATCTAAAACAATGTTTTTAAAAGTATTTCTGTGTTGATTGGACTTCTGACTTTGTTTATTTAGAACCCAGAGAACAGTGAGAACTCTGCTGGCTTTCCTTTGTCTAGAAAGGTTCTTAAGTCACTGAACCCAAAAGTCTATAGAAATGTGGAGTATGAAATTTGGCTGAAATCAAAGCAAGGTGAGTTTTAAACTTTTTTTTTTAAATCGTATTGCTTTGTTGCACTTGAAAATAATGAAGTAAACTTATTTTACTGATTTCCCTCCCCCCCAAAATTAACAGCTCAACAAAAACGTGATTATTCCATTGCTGCTGGACTACAATATGAAGTTGGAGATAAATGCCAGGTAAGTGATTTCTCATTGTGGAGGAATGGACTTTGAGTCTTCTGTGATAATAACCAAAAGATTTGAGTGTGTTATTAATTTGAATTTCAGGGCACATTTATCCTATATAGATATTTGAATTATTTCAGTGCTAAAATTTTGTGTGTAACTAAAACCACAGTATCTTATTACATGATCTTTTAGAATAATTTTCTTTGGGATTGCTTGAAAGAAGTAACATCATTTTAGATAATTTAGGTGTTTTATGACAATTGGCAGATAATTCACTGAAATCTATTTGAAATTGACTTACTAGGTGAATTTGCTTTTGAAAGTTTATGGGAGAGTTTGATATATAATACTGTGTTTCTGTTGGGCTGACAAGTGAAACTTGAGAGTTCTCTTTACTTTCAGTAAGCTACTGTGTTGGACTTGACTGACTGTTACAGAGAAGTTGGATGAGATCTGTTTCTTAACTGTGATGTTGTATGTAGAAGTATGTAGAGATTTTTATTTTAGAAAGGAGGGCATTACTGATAACTTGTGGTTATTCTGTGGAGATGGCTACCCATACTACAATGCACAGGACTGCCTCTCTCCTACAAAGAACTATGTAGTCCAAAATCTTAGTAATAGTAAGGCTGTAGAGACACTGGATAAAGTAGTTTACAGTTCCCTTTTTTCCTTTTCCTTTTTACTTAATCTTAAGTTTTATAAATAGATTTGCTGCAGCATGCTCTGGTTTATATTACTGAATTAAAAATTTTAACACATTTCAAAAAAAATGCACTATAATGAATCTTAATACTGCAGTATTACAATGATTGCACAAAACCATAAGAGATGATCCCAGTGTTTGGATGACATCCATCAGCAACAATGAGCGGACATCCTATAGCTTCTGGGAGAGGTGTGTGAGATTGAGTACACAGTGAGCTTCTGCTGACTGGGTGATAACCAAATGGAACAGAACAGGTTTGCCTGTAGCTGATTTTCTCAGTCTAGGAAGTGCTTGCCTGACTGGGGCAAAGTCAGTAGATGGACAGAAAGATTAACTTGCTTTGGGGACTCTGAAAGGCTCTAACCAGAAGGTAGTAAAAAGTGACACAAGACAGTTCTAGAGTGATGCTGCAGACATCACTGATTGGCTTGAGACTTATCCTTTAGTAATTGGTGCATTTATCAGTTAACAGTCAAGTGCTCCCTTATGGAGAACTCTTCATTAATAATTACTAATAGAGAAGGTGAGCCTGTGGCTTCCAAGTACCTTCTTTGCTGAAGGTCTGCATAGAAAGAAGAACATTGTTATTCATTAGATCAGCCAAATCTAACTTATTCCATCCTGGAAAATAGCACTCAGTATAAACAACTGTAATAGCACCCACTGATTACTAAGCTGCTCGGGGCGGCTCTTCTGTACACCAGGAAAATGAGTTCACTGACTTACTGCACATACTTACTCTGCAGCAGTTTGATCAGGCCCTAGCTTGTGTCAGGAATTGTTTATTCAGTGATTGGACCTTCAAGTAGCACTGTAACTATCAACATTCAGATTTTCAGATATATATTCAGTTCATTTGAATAAAAGAATACCTTGGCTGTAAGACACATTTTTTCCTTTCCCTGTACTGTACCTCAAACTCCTGAACTGTACCCCAAACTGTACCCCAAATCTGGAGTATTCACTCTCTGAAAGTCTCTTTAGTTAGTTTTTGGTTTTTGTGGCAGGGACCTAGGTATCCCAGACTGGCCTTGAACTTTCCCTGTAGCCAAGAATAAACTTGAAGTCCTGATCCTCCTGCCTCCACCTCTCAGTGCTGGGATTTACAGGTGTATACTACTGTGTCACCACAGCTAGCCTCAAAATTTTCTTAAATTTCTCTATTAAATGGGCGGTACAAGTAGAATAAGAATCCCACAGAGGGCAAGACCTCTGCATAAGAGGTAACCTGTACTCTGCCCACCTGAAGAACTCCCTCTGGTAAAGGGGATGGGACCACACTCACCTGGAGGTAGATATCTGCCAGTATCTACCAATGCTGACAGCCTACTCACACAACATAGCATTTGCGAATTATCTCATAGCCACAAGAGCTATGTGTTTGGTTTTTGGAAAGGGCTATGACCTTAAAACACTCTGTTTTAATACGGAATAATGGTAGAAGGACATGAAAGAAACTTGGAAAAAAATGAGTTTCGGTTGGGCTACTTGTTTTTCAGTACAACCTAATTTCTGAAAAAACTCTACCACATAGTACATTTGGAACTGCAGAGCTCTGCTAACCAAAAAGTAAACACATTTACTTTTGTCAAGGTTGTTTCAGAACTGGGTTTTGGGGTGACTCTAAAAAGTAGAGTGATTAAACAAATGAAGGACAAGTAAGGTTTATATACAAAAAGACACAATTTTTCTAAGATTATATACATTTATATTTATTTATTTATTTATTTTTAGTACTGGGTCATGTATTATTTGTGGTTTAGACATATAACTATTTGATCAGGAGAAGTTTTCCTGCCTCTGACTTGGGAGTGCTGGGACTAAAGATGTGTGCCACCATGTCCGGCAATTTTATTTTTAAATAGAAAAATACTCCCATTTCAGAAACAGAAAAGTGTTGCCTTTTAAGTTTTTTTAAAAACTTTTTTTTGTATCTTTGTTTTGAATTATTTTTATTTTATGTGTATATTACTTGCATGTATGTTATGGCACCCATGTCGTACAGTGCCCACAGAGTAGAAGAGGGCATCATATCCCGTGGAACTGAAGTTATGGATGGTTTTTAGCCACCATATGGATGCTGGGAATTGAACCTGGGTCCTCTGCAAGAGCAGCCTGGGCTCTTAACCACTGAGCCATTTCTCCAGACCCCTAAGTGTTTGTTGCTTTTTTAAAAGCTCAACAAACATTCTTAAAAAATATAGGATTTTCTTTATTTTGTGTGGTGCTGAGGTTTGAACCTCATGTTCTTGTACATGCTAGTCAAATGTGCTCTAACACTGAGCTGTATCCCTAACCCAAACATTTCTTCTTGCTTTATGGGGGCAATATTCATGTGCTTTATGATAAATTGGTCTATCTGAAAAGTGTCTGATTGACCAGGATTATATCTATGGCATTAATGACAGACTTTACCTTAATAGTCTTTAACAATATTCTGATTATAGGTTTTTTAAAAGGTAAGTAGGTGACTCATTTTGATGGTTCTTTACAGAATTGTCAGAAATGTGCTCTCCTTGTGGACCTCAGTAGAAATTTAATACATTGATTTTGAGAAGTTGAAAGAGAACAAGGACAGTTAAACCAGGGTTTTTAGAGGCTTTCCTAGGAAGAGAAGAGAAGATTGCTTTATTACTAAAGTTATGTGGCCTATTATTTTAAATAAGCATAGCTCTTTTGAGGTTGCAGTTGGCTTTGGAAAATTAGATGCCAAATAAGGTAGATGGTAAAGCATACTCTTTATATTGTTTTGAGACAGGGTCTCCCTGTAGCCCCAGCTCTCTTGGAACTCACTATGTAGACCAGGCTGGCCTTGAACTCACAGAGATCTGCCTGCTTCTGCCTCCCAAGTGCTGGGACTACAGGTGCGCACCACCACGCCCAGCTAAGCATACTCTTTTAAATCTTCTGTTTTCTACTCTGGCTTTTTATTTTTATTTATTTATTTGGCTTGTTGAGACAGGGTTTCCTTATAGCCACAGCTGACCTAGAAATTGCTGTGTAGACCAGGCTGACCTCCAACTCAAAAACAATTTGCCTGCATTTGCCTCCTGAGTGCTGTGCTGGGATTACAACCTGGGTTTTACATTTTGAGACAGGATCTAACTTATCTCGTCTTGGCTGGTCAGGAACTCACTATGTAGACCAGGCTGGCCTTGAACTCCCAGAGCTTCATCTACCTCTGCCTTCTGAGTGCTGATTAAGGTGTGTATTATCTGCAGGACACAGTGCACTTATATGCATGCAGGCAATACACTCATAACATAAAATAAAAATAATAAAAATAAAATAAAGATGTGTGTGTTACCAAACCTGGCCTTGCTTTTATTTTTTTAAAGAAAAAAAAAGACATGGTCTCACTGTAACCCTGGCAAGCTGAGAACTTTTTATGTGGACCAGACTGGCCTCAGAAACCTGCTTGCCTCTGCCTCTGCCTCTGCCTCTGCCTCTGGAATGCTGGGTCTTAGGCTATTTTATTTGGATAAAATGTAATTGAAATTTTAACTAAAATGATTCAGATGTGAATTGTTTACTGAGGTGTATAAGACAGTTTAAACATTTGATAAAAATAATCTTTTAAGGGAGTGGTGAGATGACTTGGAGTTAAGACTGCTTGCTCACTCTTTCAGAGGGTGGGAATTCAGTTTCTAGCACATGCATCAGGTGGCTCACAGCTGTCTGTAATTTGAGTGCCAAGTGTCTGAGGCTCTCTTCTGGCCTGTGGGCACCTTGTCCCCCCATGACATACACAGGAACCCCACCCCCCACCTGTTGCATACATAGCCACTCGCACACACGTGGGGCATACATACAGACACCCACACATATCCATAAAATTCTTTAAAAATCTTTAAAAGCCTGTTTATTGCAAAATCTTCAGAGAGAGGCAAGCAGTGTCATGATAAATGAGGAATGAAATGCCAGCTTGAGGACTCGTATGCTGATAGAAAGAGGTTGTGTAAAGCAGTGCTGCATGTAATGTGCTGTGTTAACTAATGCGGTGACTGGCCAGTGCAGAAGTCAGTTGTGCCGCTGAATTAGAAAGGAACTTCCGTGCTTACTTACCCATGTCACCATTCACAGCCGAAGCATCTATTTTTAGGGAGCAAAACAGCCCTTATATATTATTAACATCATAACAATGGGAAAATGGTAATTATAACAATAATCTTGCTCATACGTAGAGTGGCTGCTGTGTAAGTTGATGTCCCTTCTATGTGTCATATACATTTCCATTGCGTCTCCATGAGTTCTCTTACGTATTAATATTATTAGTTCCCTTTTACATATGAGGAAACTGAAGCAGGTAAGTAACTTACCTAAGGTTATGCTACAAATCAGTGGAAAACTCAGGCCTGGGGGGTTCAGAACCAGGATAGGCTGATGGCTGGTAATGTTTGGAGCTTTTTCTTTGCTGCTGCTTCTAGAAGTATTTAGAAAATTAGAAAAAAATTTGACAAGACAAATAAAAGTTTCTCTTTTAGGTAGACGTGGAGATTGAGAAGCTTATAGAGGGACAGATTCTGTTGTATTCCTTTTGTATGTACTTTATTTTTTTTCTGATGAATGCTTATTTTCTCTTTAATTCAAGATAATAAAGATATCAGGTGACTGATCATTTTTCTCTGGCATTATTTAACAGGTTAGATTGGATCATAATGGAAAATTTTCTAACACAGATTTTCAGGGTGTTCACTCTGAGAATGGACCGGTTTTGGCTGAAGAACTGGGAAAAAAGTATGTATTTTCCTTCAGTCAAGGTGTTTACTACTGCTTACATTGAGCCTGCTATAATTGTGAACACTTTTTAAGACCGGGTCTCCCTGTAGCCCTAGCTGACTTGAACTCACTATGTAGACCAGGCTGGCCTTGAACTGACAGAGATCCACCTGCCTCTGCCTTCTGAGTTCTGGGATTAAACGCATGCACCACTATGTCTGGTTGTGAACACTTAAATGCTTGTGTATTTACACATTCAATGAAACGTATTACGCATATATAAAAGTAAATTTGGTCAGATCTTCAAAAATTGTTCAAGGAACTGGGAAGATGGCTCAGTGAGTTAGAGCACTTGGAGTGCAAGCAAGAGGAACTCAACTTTAATGCCCAGAACTCATGTTAAAAGACAAGCATGGCTGTGCCTGCTGGTAGCCCCAGTGTTAAGGGGATACAAATAGGTGGATCTAAGAAGCCCTCAGCTTAGCCAAAATGATGAGCTTCAGGTTCATTGAGAGACTTGTCTTAAAAGTAGAGACATGGACACAGACACACACAGACACACACACACACACACACACACTCACACTGTACACTACACTCTTAAAAAAGGAAAAACATTTGAAGTTCAAATTGAGTGTTTTACATGGTTGTATCTTAAAGCAAGCTTAGGTTATTGCCCACAGTTTAAAATGTGTTCTAAAGAAAGTCAGTTTGGAAATTTGCTGCATTGCCTACAGTTAACAAGATTGTCAGTGTCAGGTAGAGTAGAAAAACACTGTTGACTTACTACAGAGTCATTTTAGTGTACCTTTTGAGTTACTGCTGCCTATATTAGAGAAAATGGCACTAAATAGCACCTTACACTTTGCCATATTAGTTTACTTCCTTTTTGCTGTGATAAAAATACCATAACCAAAGCAACTTGAGGAAAGGGTTTATTTTATCGTACAACTCCCAGATCACAGTCCATCAATGACAGAAGTCAGGAATTCAGGGCAGGAACCTGGAGGCAGGAACTGAAACAGAGACCATGAAGGAATGCTGCTTCCTGGCTTGGTCCTTTGGCTTGTCTTCAGCCTACTTTTTCTCGTTTTTTGGTCTTTTTGAGACAGGGTCTCCCTGTAGCCCCAGCTGTCCTGGAACTCACTATATAGACCAGGCTGGCCTTGAACTCACAGAGATCCGCCTGCCTCTGCCTCCCAAGTGCTGGGACTAAAAGCATGTGCCATCATGCCCAGCCAGCCTACTTTCTTATACAATCTAGGACCACCAGCCCAGGGAAAGCACCACTCACAGCAGGCTTAGCCCTCCCACCTCACTCAGTAATCAAGAAAATGCCTCATAGACATGTCCACAGACAAATCTGTTAGTGGTGATTGCCCAGGTGATTTCCACATATGTTGGACAACCAAAGCCAATCATGAAATTTACTAAGTGAAAAAATTTAAATGTACATAAATGTAAAGGGGAGGTGTAGCACAGTACAATCAGCACCCACTTTTAGCTTCTCACAGAGATCCACCTGCCTCTGCCATCAAAGTGCTGGGACTAAAGGCATGCGCCCTGGCCTCTTACCTAATATTTTAATTGTGTACCTCTTAAAAATTTTTTTATTTTAAAGTTCTATTATTTTTATTTTATGCGTATGAGTGTTAATGTCTGTGAGTAAGTGCACTGTGTCATGCAATGCCTGTAGAGGGCAGAAGAGGATTTTGGATCCTCTGGAATTGGAGTTATGGGCAGTTGTTAGCTGCTATGTGGGTGCTGGGAACCAAACCTGGATCCTCTGCAAGAGCACCAGTGAGCCATCTCGCCAACTTACTTTTTAATGGGAATAAAATTAGAATATTTTGCCGGGCGTGGTGGCACACGCATTTAATCCCAGCACTCGGGAGGCAGAGGCAGGCAGATATCTGTGAGTTCAAGGCCAGCCTGGTCTATATAGTGAGTTCCAGGACAGCTGGGGCTACAGGGAGATCCTGTCTCAAAAAGACAATTTTAAAGCAAGTCCAGAGGTTATACCATTTCTCTGATGTTTACAGGTATACCTTTTAGAATAAGGTTTTCACTTGTTAGATTTTTATAGGTGTCTCTAACAAAATAAAATTCTCTCTTGTTATATTAACTGTACTGCCATTAGCTAATTAAATAGCTGAATAACACTTGTTCTTTATAACTTAGTCCTTTGCTTAGATTTAAGTTCTTGTACTATTCCATTTTTAAAGTTGTAGAATGTGCTTATGACTTAGATAATTTTATTTGATTAAAGTCTGAATTGCTAAATGCTGGTTTTACTTAAATTCTGATTGTTTACTTTTTGATGGTATGTGAATTGAACCCAAGGCCTTGGACTTGTTAGACAAGTGCTCCTAGCCCAATTTAAATTCTGATTTTTAATTAAAGTTTGCTTTTATGTATTTTTTTTGGTGCTGGTTAATGAATGAACTCAAGGCCTTGCTAAACAGGTGCTCACTGAATTATATCTCCAGTTTCTTAAATTTGTTTCTAATGTAAGAACTAACATGGAAAAATGGAGTCTTCTTGTTGGGAGTACTTTCAGTTACTAGCAAATCTTGTTCCTTTTGAAGACATGTACTGAGGAACCTCAAGGCCCCTCCCCCAGAAAACTGGAATATGGTGTCGGGAAAGAAGGTGAAAAAGCCTAATTCTGGACAGAGTCCCCATTCAGGTAGTTCACATCGAATTCTCACTTCTTTGGGCTTAGGGTAATCATACTTGGAGTAGTTTACAGCAGGAAAATTGAGATATTTTTGTATTTTACCACAGACACGGACTATAGAGGGCCAAAGAATCCAAGCAAGCCAATAAAAACCCCATCAGCACTACCTCCTCGACTGCAGCATCCTTCAGGTGTGAGACAACATGCATTTTCTGCTCATGCTTCAGGGTCCCAGTCACAGAAATCCTCCAGTGAGAATAAGACTCTTAGTAGAACACCCTCACAGCTCCTCAGGTAAGTTCCTGAATTTGAGAGAGGTGCAGATCATATGAGAGGCATTGGTGTATGTATGCCGTTATGTTCATTTTAATAATTACCAGCTTTTCGTAATTATTTATAATGCAGTATTTAAAAGTATTGTTGACAAAACTCCAGAACAGTGGAAAGTAATATTGTAGGGAACAATGGCCTTTGTTTTTGAATGTTTTGTTTCAGATGGTTTGATTGTCTTGTAGCTATATCGTCTTTAAATTGTGTGTGTGTGTGTGTGTGTGTGTGTGTGTGTATTACACGTGTGTACATAAGTGCACGAATGCTTGCATAGATGCATGCAGGCATGCCATAGCACGTGGAAATCAGGACAACTTTTGGCGTTGGTACTTTCATGCCTTCCGCCTTGTTGAGGCAGGGTCTCTCCTTTTATCTGCTATTTTGGGGCTTATTTCAGGCTAGCTATGTAGCGAGTTCAAGGCCAGCCTGGTAGATAAGACCCTGGCTTTAAAGTGAAAAATAAAATGCACAAAAAACCAAAACACTTAAATGGTTATCCCAATACTGTCTCTGTATTTTCCCAGTGATTTTTTTTTTTTTTCGTTTTCTTTTTCAAAGGTATCCAGTATTGGGTTATTTTGTAATTTTTGTTGCTTTTATTTTAATTTTATTATTACTTAAATTGTTACTAGGTTTAAATTTACATGAGAACAAATGAAAGCTGAAAGATGACATTTTAAAATTCCTGTTTTATTTTTAGTATTTGTTTTTTTTCAGTATTTTTGTAAGATCAAAATAAAAAGTTACTACTATTATTTTGTTAGTATTTTCATTGTTTTTTATTGAATTTTTGCACATTTCATACAATATATCTTAGTCATATCCCTTTTGTACCGTCCCCCCCACTGGATTTCATGCATTCTGTCGTATATGTTAAAGCTTACTGAGTCAAGTTTGTATACCCAGGGGTCCCCCAGTGCAAGTTCATCCATTTGAGTACAGTCAGTCTATCTAGAGTCTCTCTCTCCCTTAAAGAAAACCCACTCTCCCTCTCCTAGCAGTGACTAGCCGCCAGTAGCTCCTAAGATAAGGTTGGGGCCTCCTCCCCATTCCTCAGTTCTCTTCCGGGTGCTTGTCTGAATTCAACAATGCTGTAAGTTCATATGATCAAGTTCCCAGAGGCTTGGAAAAGTATGTTTCCTTATGATCGTGTACCAACCTTGGCCCTTACAATCTTTCTGCCCTCTATTCTACAATGGTCCCTGAGCCATGGGTGAGTGATCTTAAATATAAGAGCTCTATCCAGGGACATGTACTCTGTAAGCTCTTATTCTACACTTTGGCCAGTTGTGCCCTTCTGTGTGCATCATCCTTGGTTGCAAAAAGAAGCTTCTTTGATGAGTGGTGAATGATATTTTTGTCTGCAGATTTCATGATTTCATCTTTTTTACCATTGAATAGAACTGCAGTGTGTAAATGTGTACCACATTTTCATTATTTGTCACTTGAGGGACATTTAGGTTGTTTCCTTGTTTCCATTTCTTAGCATTGTAGAATGCAGGTCTCTGGCAGGCAGATCAGGAAGGTTGCCTAAGGACAAGGTGGGGTTGGGGACAGGCTGGGTAGGGTCTCACTAGGCAGAGTAGGTGTTAGCCCTGGTAAGCCTTAAGACCTGATTTTCAGTCCTGGGATCCACATAGTGGATAGAAAAAGATGAATGACTGCACATCCACACAAGCACATAAACAGACACACATGCACAAAACAAATAAATGAAATACAATTTAAAAATGAGTGCTTGCTTCAGCGGCTCATGTACTGAAATTGGAACAGTGCAGAGATTAGCCTGTCCCCTACACAAGGAGGATGGACAGATTTGTGAAGCGTTCCATATGTTTATATGACAGAATGCATGAAATCCAGTGGGGTGTGGAGAGGGGTGTAAATTTGATTAAGATCTGTTGTATGAAATGCACAAAAACTCAATAAAAATATTTTAAAAAATGAAACCCAATGAAAATAAATGTGCAAACACACCACCACATTCTCAGTGTCGTCACTAATCAGAAGAGGAAGTACATGTGAAGGAAACTTGGGTGACATTCCTGAGAGACCGTAACTAGGAGTTTAACATCTCATAATGGCCACCCGGTAATCTAACCAGTTCAGGTTAGGGTTGTCGTTGTCGTTGTCGTCGTTGTTCTGATTTTATTATTTTTGTTTATGTGTATGTGTGTATTGCCTGCGTGTAGGTAAGTTGCACCCGTGTCATGCAGTGCCCACGGAGGACAGAAGAGGCTGTCAGATCCCCTGGGACTGGAGTTACGGACAGTTGTTGGCTGCCATGTGGGTGCTGGGATTCGAACCCGGGTCTTCTGCAAGAACAACCAGGGTTCTTAACCGCTGAGCCATCTCTCCAGCCCCTCAGGCTAGGTTTTAATACTATTTAATTATGTGATAATTTTCTCCTTTACAAGAACACTGGCACATGATGGGTTACCTTTTCTCAGATGGAATGTTTATGTCATATCAGCTAGTTGTAATTGAGAATTATTCTTTGATTAGAATAGTTGTAGGAAGGTCATTGATACAAGCAAAATGTCTTTCATACAGTTGTTTTTGATGGAGTCGAAGCAGTTTCTCCCTAGCCTAGAAGGAAAGGGTATGCTTTAGTGTCTTAAACATTTTAAAGGAAAATCCACAGACTACTAAATGACTATTAGAAAATTTTTGTTTGTCACAATTTAATTTGTATCCAGAGTATTTCTGGTGTTGACTCCAGAATGCTCAGAGAGATGTTCAGTATGCATAATACTCTTTTTTTTAAAATTTTTATTTATTTTTCAGAAGAAGCATTTCATTACCGCTTTAACATACTCAGTAAAAATTTCCAGAGCAAAGATACATCTCTTTCAAAAGTCGCTATAAAATTTTTAGTTTCACAGTTGAATTATTACAGTTATACAATATTGAACTCAGTATAAACTCTGTAAGACATAAATTGAATGAGTTTTTAACCTTTGAAAAAGATCTCCGTTTCATTTTAAAATACACTGTTTCTTAAAGACTCATTGTTTTTGCTAATAACACTTAGATGTTGGCACATGCATCTCTAATCTGTATGTATCTGATTATTACTAGTCATGGTTGGATCCTTGGCACCTGTGTATGGACATAAAGTCATTGGGTAGAAGAAAGGAGCCAGGGGCTCCTCCCAAGCCCATGTGACCCCTGAGGAACAGATCCTCAAATGGCCTTAAAGAGTAAAAATAAGTTGGTTTATCTGGGCCATCTGTATGACCTTAACACCTGAAAGTCCCTGTATAGCCAAAGATTAAAGGGGCCAATATTTTTTAAGAGTCAATATGTATAGCTAATGGCTACATAACAAGAAACAATGCCAGGAGATACCTTCTTTTGAGTTGTTGGCCAGGGTGGCCAAAGGGATTCCCAGATAGTAACCCAGCATAGAACTGGGAAAATGAACAGCAGACCCCAATCTTATCTAAAGGAATATTGACAACTGATTGCTCCTAGATGAGGAACAGCTGACCCTCCTAAAACAAAAGACCTCTAGATAGGCTGATTAGATTCGCCAGCTGGACAAGTAGTGGGGATTGGCTGGGGTGCCGACAACACAGCGGACAGTGGCAGGGATGACAGAATATAAGGGTTGGGGGGGGGCTGCGAGAGGGTGCCATCTGGGAAGTGGGTATATAGATGAATAAGATTGTTTGGGATGTTCTGTGTGATATACGCACAAAAGAATCAACAAATTAAAAATATGAGTTATATTTGAGGAGGAAACATAAAAATTTATGTCATAGCTGGGCGTTGGGGCAACAGGGAGACCCTGTCTCAAAAAGACCAAAAAAAAAAAAAAAATTTTACGCTATACTAATTAGTAGAGGTGATCACAAACATTACCACTGAAATCTACCCGATGACTTTATACTCATACTTTTTTAACTTTTAAAAAAAACTTTACTGAGAATTTCTTACATACATTGGATCAAATCCACACCCACTCCTTCCCATATCTCCCCATCACTCCCTTCTGGCAACTTTCTCTCTCTCTGTCTCTCTGTCTCTCTCTGTCTCTGTCTCTTTCTCTCTCTCTGGCTTTTTGCTACCCTAACAGTCCCCCCTTTGAAGAGGTAACCCTAGAGACTAGATAAGAGCTCCCAAATACTTTTGACATTTTTGGCCTTGGAACAGAGTATGTTGCTAACAGGCCCAAGGACATTTTGACTTTTAGCCAAGAAACTGGCTACATTTCTTTGGGGTCTTTTTACCCTAACTGCCTAGCCGATTCCTACCTCCGATTCTTAATCACACCATCCTCTGAAGAGGTTACCCAGCTTGTGGATAGGGAATCAGGGTGCAGACTGCTCTGTCTTCTTCCATGCTGAATAGGGATGCAGGGTGAGAAATTGGGGTACCCCTTCAGTGGGTCTATCTAAAAGACTCCCAAATTGCATAACTGTTCCTCTGTAGGGGGAAAAGAAGGTCCTTGACTGGTGAATAGGAGATGTGAAGAAGTAAAGGCAAGATTAGTTAGCATTACAGGTTCTAGACAGGGAACTAGAAAAAAAGTCAGAGCAAGGCAGGTTTCAAATGTTCCTTTGAGAGTCCTTTGGACTTTCTTGATGAGAACTTCCAAATCATCCCTCTATTGGGTTCCTCCTAATTTTTCTGCCAAAAAGAGAGTGATGGATTCAGGATTTGCTTTCAGGCACTTTGATTACTGTTGGAGTGATTAGAATCAGTGTCAGTTCCCTCTCAAAGGCTTCACCATGTGGAGGCAGGATCCGGGCACTCTCAGGCAGTCCACTGTGTTCTCTGCCCTTATGCTGGGGTTGGGGGCAGACCAGAACAGGCACTCTGTGGCGGTTTGCTGAGATCACAGCCGCTACACTCACAGAGTAGTCTGAGATTTTTGAGGGTCCAGGTTTGCCCTCCTGCTTTTTACTAAGTACTATTGGAGTAAGACTATCTGAAGGCATTAATTGCTTTTATTTTAAAACTTAAATAATGACATTGTCTATATTATGATAACGTAGTTTTTCTGTACGTTTTAAAGTTTCATTTCCTATTTGTGCAGTTGATGATATAGTATTTATACTGTATTTAATGGCTATAAGCCATATAAAACATTACATTTATTACTAAACTGTATTCATGAATCTCTTGTGATCTTTCATTGAGTAAAATTATATTTTAGGCGGTGGTGGCAGCTAATGCCCAACCTGGCACATACCATTGTTTTTGTTTTTCTTTTCAGTTCTCCATTTTCTTAGTGCTGTTAACACTCAGGAGGGTGGTCCAAGCGTTTAATTTGACCATTGCTGTTAGAACAGAAAAATCAGAATAGACCTAAGCTAAAAGTTTTTTCTTCTCACTTCCTTTTCAAAAACTTATATTTTTAAATTAATTTAGTTGTTTATGTATGTTTATGTGTGTGTGTATGCACATGCCATGATGCATGTATGGAGGCTGGAAGAAAACTTGTGGGATTCATTTTTCTCCTTGTGAGCTCTGGGAGTTGAACTCAGGTGGTCAGACTTGGTAATAGCCTAAACTGTGTTACTGGCCCCACCATTCCTTTATTTCCTTTTGAGACTAAAATTTTAATGAAAGTGTTGGAACATGGCGTGAAGAATATACTTAAATTTCTGCTTTCATGAAAAATTCAATTACTTCTGTATTCTGTAGAAGGAAGCGAGTTATAGTTTAATTTTCTCCTCCATTGTAAGTTTATCTTAACTTTGTAAATGAGCTTGAGTGCTGTGAGTGTTTCTGTTTCAGACAGGCAGTCTAAAATGTCAATCAGTGGTGTTTGGTCAGTTATATTTGTATGGCAAAATAGATTACTTCATTTTTGTACTATATACATTTTGTCTGGTTTTTTTTTTTAATCCTAACAAGGCTTTATCATTTGACAGAAAACCTGATCGTGAAAGAGTTGAGGATTTTGATCACCTGAATCGTGAATCTCACTATTTTGGCCTCTCCCCAGAGGAACGCAGAGAGAAGCAAGCTATTGAAGAGTCTCGTTTGCTGTATGAGATTCAGAACCGGGATGAACAGGCTTTTCCAGCCCTTTCTGTACGTATATAGAAACTCAGGCTTAATGCTTAGAAGTCCTTCTTAGTATAGTTTGTATTAACCTTAGTTTCTGATGATGGATAATTCTTAAACTGAAAATACCTTAAAGATTAGATAGACCCTGGCATGATGATATGCCTGTAATCCCAGCTACTTGAAAAGCAGGAGTATCCTTTAATGGAAGAGCAGCTTGAGCAATATAGTAAGATCTTGTATCAAAACAAAAACTCCCTCTTCCCAAAAGGAAGGGAGGGAGGGAGAAGGAAGGAAGGAAGGGAGGAAGGGACATGGTAAGTAGCTACTGAAAAGTTGGTGTCAGTTGAGGCAAGGAAATTGATTTACTCACCTAACGGTATTTAATATTTCTTTTTGGACCAAAAGACATATAATTTGCTAGCAAAAACTGTGGTTTAGAGGCTCATGATTCAGTTAACTGTTCACTTTTCTGGACAGTCAGAAAACCTTTTCACTGTTTATCAAATGTACGATGACTTGATCTGCCCATGGTAGCCCTCTGTCAAGTGTAGGTGGTTGGAAGTAGTGGCACTTGCGATTTTTGTCTTTGTTTATGTGTCAGACACTGGACTGTACTTTGTACTTGATACTTATCTGGTGAAAGAAAGATTTCTACCTTTAGTTTTAACTTTTGGAGGCAGTCAGAGGGAAAACCATAGTACATGAGTGAGGCTTCATTAACAGGACATGGAAGGAGTAATTGATTGGTGCTGGGAACTCTGTGCCTGTGGTCTTCATTAAGTCTTGGGAAATAATACTCAAATGATTCTTTCATATAGAATGTTAACTGTGGATTAAACAAACAAAATAGAATGCTGTTGAAAGCTCCCTGCTGTACCAGAAAAAAAACTCAATAAAACTACATGTGTTCAATTTTCTGTCTTCTGATTGTGGAATTCCTTAGAGGCCTGAGGGAGCAGCGCAGTTGGAAGGAGCTTATGTGGAATAGAAGTTCATTTTGGAGCTTAGGGATGATTGAAAACTGTGCCCAAGTCAAACGTTTGGGATAGGCTTTGTGCTGATCATGTTTTATTTGCTATTTTCCCGAAGCTTTTCTGTAATAGACAAATATAAATCAGTTGGTAATATGGGCATAGATTATGAAATTTTTTTATTGTTAAAACTAAGTTTTCTTACTTAATACTTAAATGCTTGAACTGGTGTCAGATTTGATAGTGGATTAGATTTGTTTTCTAGAAACTGGAAGACTGCTAGCCTCTTTGCTGTATGCTACATTAAGAGTGCTATAACAAGAATCTTAGAACCTTCTGTGATAATTATCTTAAAAACCTGACTTTTTGGGGCTGGAAAGATGGCTCAGTGGTAAAGAGCACTGACTGTTCTTGAAGAGGACCCATGTTCGAGACCCAGGACCCACATGGTGGCAATAAACAGTCCTTAACTCCAGTTCCAGGGGACTCTGAAGCCCTCTTCTGACCTCTGTGACATTGCACGACATAGTTGCACTCACCTACATGCAGGCAATACACTCATACACATAAAATAAAAATAATAAATAAAATATTATTAAAAAAAAACCCAAAACCTGACTTACGGGGCTGGAGAGGTGGCTTAGCAGTTAGGAACACTTTCTGTTCTTCTAGAGGACCCGGGTTTGATTCCCAGATCCACAAGGCAGCTAGCACCGATTCTTAACTCCAATTCCAGGGAGTCTGATGCCCTCTTCTGGCCTCTGTAGACACCAGGCATAGACATGGTCCACTTTACATACATGCAGGGAAAATACTCATACATTAATTAAAAATGAAATTTTCTTTTTTGTTTTAAATTAAAAAAAATATTTTTATGTGTATGTGTGTTATGCCTGCATGTAGGTGAGTGCACCCGTGTCGTGCCATGCCCATGGAGGACAGAAGAGGCTGTCGGATCCCCTGGGACTGGAGTTATGGACAGTTGTTAGCTGCCATGTGGGTGCTGGGATTCGAACCCAGGTCTTCTGCAGGAACAGCCAGTGTTTTTAACCGCTGAGTCATCTCTCCAGCCCCAAAAATAAAATCTTCAAAAACAAAACAAACAAAAAGAACCCTCAGTTCCTCTGGTCCCTTTGTTTCACCAGTTACATAGTCATGGCTCATATAGAGCTTGGGTGATTTGCTCTTGACTATAAATACCATTTCAGTGATGAGAGTCCTGGAGCACTGCCTCAGCTAATTCATATTTTTCCCTTCACAAAGGACTTTCTTGGGGAGGTTAGTAGAAAAGATACTGCTGTTTGTGCAGACAGTATAAATTATAACGTAAACGTTTGATTATTACGATTTCATGAAGTAAGAGATGTGTATTAATTTAGGCTGAATGACTGAGTGAGTACATAATATTTTAATTCAGTAATTAATGTAAAGCATAATTGAATATGGTCTTCAGATCCTATCAAGTAGTTTCCAAAGTATTAGGCTATGGATTTCAAAAAATTTGGCTAGATTTCTGAGTAGTATTTGTAGAACTTTTATTTATATATTTTGTTCATAAATTTTAATACAAAATGTGACTTTGTTTATTTTAAAGAGCTCATCAGTCAGTCAGTCAGCTTCTCAGAGTAACAACTCATGTGCCCAGAGAAAATCTTCACACGGAAGTGACAGGAAAGGAAGCAGGCGGAGAATGGACATAGAAGAGCGGAAAGACAGAGGTACGTTTGGTCGTCATTTCAAAGGAGACACTGTACATCTGTGCCATTTTTGACGTCACATATGGTATTCCTGCCTTACCCATGGTTCTGCTTTTTGCAGTTTTTTGGCTTTTAAAAAGTTACTTACTACATTTATTTTATGTGTATGAGTGTATTCCCTGCATATATGTGAGTGCATCTGTGTCATGCAATGCCTTGGAGGTCAGAAGAGGGCTTCGGATTCCCCTGGAACTGGAGTTAAGGTCGGTTCATAGCCACCATGTGGGTGCTGGGAATCGAACCCGGGTCCTCTGCAAGAGCAGTCAGTGCTCTTAACCGCTCTTAACTGCTTTCTGCAGTTTTAAGAACTCAAGGTAAACTTATCTGAGAATACTAAATGGAGATTGTCCGAATCACCTCATACTACTCAAATTGAGTACTGTTCTCAGTAGCCTGATCAAGTCTTGTGCTGTCTTGTTTCTTCCTATTCACAATGTGAAAGTTCGTTTGGCTGGTGTTGCCTGCCCATTAGTCACTTAGTAGCTGTCTTAATTATCACTTTGTCTGGATGTAGCAGTGATTGTGTAGCAACAGTGATCCCCACGTGCAGAGTAATGATGTGGGCAATTGAATTCCTAAAGAAAAGCCACAGAGTATTTCCTTTAAATGAAAAGATGAAAGTAAGATAACAGGTAGAGACAACTGTTATTATAGAACAGTTGCGATTATTCTATTTTGCTGTTAATGTTAATCTCTGTGCCTACTTTATAAATGTATGGAAAAAAAATCATAGAATTTATAAGCTTAGGTGTTCAACTGGGAGAATGTATCCCCTGCGAGTAAGAAGGGATTAATGTATTTTGAAAAGTCACCTAATGTCACACATTTGACATTGGAGAGTAAAATTGACTTGAACCAAAACAAAACCTCAGTGCTTCACATACTACACATGGTGTAAATGGAGCTTTGACTTTGTCTTCATATTTGTTTTTCTGTATTCAAACCTGGTAGTTGTTGCTGCCTTTCTTAATCTTAATCTGTTACAGACTCCATACATGTGCATACTCACATGGATAAAAAACCTGAGCCAAACGCATTGGAGGTAAGGTTTTAATTCTTTTTATTTTTTAACATTTAAAAAAAATATTTTTATGTGTACGAGTGTATTGCCTGCATGTATGTGAGTGCACCTGTGTCGTGCAATGCTGCGGACATCAGAAGAGGGCTTCAGAGTCCCCTGGAACTGGAGTTAGGGATGGTTCGTAGCCTCCATGTGGGTGCTGGGAATTGAACCCACATTCTCTGCAAGAGCAGTCAGTGCTCTTAACTGCTGAGCCATCTCTCCAGCCCCAAGGTTTTAATTCTTTAAAATAATTTTCTTTAAAAAAGTTTGTTTCATTTATTTGTGTTGTGTGTGCCCATGTGCATGCACAGATGGGTGCCTGCAATGGTGTATGTGGAGGTCAGAAGCCTCTTTTGCTTCTTGTTCTTTAATTCTGTGATAGTGTGGTATGAAGAAGAAAAGATGGAAGGCATTTATATTTTACAAATGAAGTAGAAAATGGAAAATGTGATGAAGCTTGAGGAGAGAAAGTCTTATTTCCTCAACCTACCTCAGGATGCTCTATCTTTTTTCAAAAGACACTGTAACCTTGACTATCCAGGAACTCGCTATGTAGTCCTGACTGGCCTGTGCCTCCTGAGTGCTCAGATTAAAGGTGTTCAGTGTGCTCGGCCGCCCTCTATTAATAGTTGCAAAATAGTGTTTACTCCCTATCACCCTATAGGTTGGATTTTTTTTTTTTAAATAATAGAAAAGCTATGTTTGCAGATGTCATACCCCAAAGAAAAACTGCCCAGTAGTGTGATAAAATAAAAATCACGAGTGGTTGGTTCTTTTGATGCACGTTAGGGTGAATTAGAAAGGCGACCATAGTTATCCCAGAGTGGAGGCCTCTTAAAGTGAATTTTACTTTTTTTCCTTGCTACCAAAGAAAACTGGTGATGATAAATGTGCAAGAGGATCGTCACCACCAAAGTCAAAGCAAATAGAGTGCCCATCTTCTCCTGTAGAACAAGTAAGTTATCTCATTTGACATGTAATGCTGTCTTCTCTGCATTTCTTTTCTCTGTATATGAAAGTATCTGTGTGGTAAATCAAAGAACATTTTCTGACATAATTTGGTTGCTGTTAAGATTTTTCTGTAATTCTGGTTGGTCTATGATATCAATGTTTATAGAATATTTCTGATCATCTTATGAATTGATTTTGACTATGTTTGTATTTGTTAACCTTAATATTTGGTACCTTGTGTTAATTTTATGATGCCTCAGTTGAAAATTATTTCCAAAAGGAAAATGAATTTTTACTGTAAGTTTTCTAGAAGTTACCTGGATCATTCACAATGACTTAGTACACATTTTAAAAAGTATCAGTAGTTTTCCAATTAAATGAACAAACTTGGGTTCAGTGGACAGTTTGGTTCTTTGCCTATGAGAGGAGAAAACGTTAACCATTGCATGCCTTTGAATTAGTATTGCTTGTGTTAATAAAATTATAAAAAGCTAAATGCAATTTTATTTAAAGGCTTTTCTGAAAAGCCTTGGACTTTGAAGTTGATTTCTGTGAATCCCCCTCCGCCCCGCCTCAAAAAACATTGTGTTGTTTCTAACTTTGCCTGGAACTTCTGTGACTTGTGGTAGGCAACTTTTTGTTAAGATTAAATGTATTTGCATGTGAATTTTGGCTGTTGAATTTTTCATCTCTAAAACTAGCTTGAACAGTTACTTCCTTCTATAGCAGGACTTTATACATTTATACTTCAGTTGTGTGAAAGGCAACTCCAAGGTACATTGGTTATTAAAATTTGAGTCAAAACAAATGATGAGTTTTTCTTTTTCTGCCCTGTTCTTGAAGAAGCCAGCAGAACATCTATCTTTGTCAAACCCAGCTCCCCTCCTAGTTTCTCCAGAAGTACATCTCCCTCCTGCAGTGCCTTCTTTACCAGCCACTGTGCCAGCCTGGCCAAGTGAACCTACAAGTTTTGGACCAACAGGTAAGAGAAGAATTTAGAAAAATTTTCCAACAATCTATAACAAAAACTTTTCAAGTCGGAGGCTTCAAGTTCTTGACTGTGAACTTGACCACAGAGAAGATTTGTGTGTAGGAGCCCACAGGGCTTTTAACTTGATTGTATTCCAGTATGGGAGGGTCAAGTTCATGTGCGTAGTGTTGACTGGGGTGTGCTTTTATAATCTCGGGTACCTGATAGTTAAGGTCATTGTCTCCACTGTTGTCTTTAGTTGCTCAGCACTGACTGGTGCCACAGTTTGATATTTCTGCCATAGGCCATACTGTTATGTTCCCCAGAGGCATACTTTGCAGGACATTTGTCTTAAAGGAATTTTTTTTTTTTTTTTTTTTTTTTGGGTCTTTTTGAGACAGGGCAGGAATTCTCATCTTTTTATTCCACCATTCTACTTTCAACAT